TCACTATTGGTATGAATAAGGAATTTGGTGGACAAAGCCCATGAAGAGCAGAAACAAATACAGGCCCTTCTATCAAGAGCTGCACTTGCTATGTTCAACCATCCCAAGAATGCCCTGAGAAGTGAGTCTAACAGTGAGTCTGAAGGAAAGGGAAAGGAAAAGTGTAAAAGGAGGGAAAAGGAGAGAGTGAAGAGACACGAAAAAAGGGAAAATAAAGACCACAGAGACATGAGAATAAAATGCAACGTGTAATCGTCTACTGGATTCTGGCATGGGAAGAAAACAGGATAAACTTGACTATGAACTGTGTCAGATACTGTGTCAGTGCTAGGTTTTCTGAGTGTGACTCAAACAGGAATCCATCCATGAGAGTGTCCTTGTTCTTAGGTGATGGAGGCTGAAATATTTTAGAGATAAAGTACTGTGGTACCTGTGACTTACTCTCAGGGCACTCTTCCAAAGGGGGGGTGATCTAGGTACAAGGTAGATATCACTGTACAGTTCCTTCATCTTTTCTATTAATTTGAATGGTTTCTAAATAAAAGTATAGGAGAGGGGATAAGGAATTGGAAATTCTCCTACCCGAGAAGACAGTGAGATGTCTCACACAAGACAGAGGAAGGAAAGGCGGAGCTGGAGGTGGGGCTACATAACCTGATTCTAACTAATGCTTCCATTCACTGTTGCTGAAAATAAGTTTTAGAAATGAATGTATTCTGTAACTGTATTAGGTATACACTATACATAAACTACCTGACCTGGAGACTCAGTAGGGTCACAGTATATATTCAGCCTCCTATGTAGACAATGGAACAGCTCTCAGTAAAATAAATGACCAACAACAACAAAAATCTGCGAACATGGAATTTTATAGTACCTACATAAAAGCCTAGTAGATCCTACATATAAATATCATACATTTGTATGTACACGTGTGTATTTTTTAAGAACATGAAAGTTTTTTTCTTTTTAAATTTAATATGTATTTCTTAATATTCACAAATGAATATAACGTGTTTGGACCAAATCCAAGCTCCCATTCCCTCTTTTCCAATTCCTTCCTCCCCTAAGATTTGTTCTTTTACCTCGTAGGGAAAAAATTTTTCCCAGTTATTTAATAGAAAAATACATTTAGTGGGGCTGAAGAGATGGCTCAACAGTTAAGAGCATATATTGTTCTTGCAGAGTCTGGTTGCCAGGACCCATGTCAAGCATCTCACAACCACTTGTAACTCTAGTTCCTGGGGGATCCAGTGCCTCTGGCCTCTGTGGGCACTGCACTCACATGAGCATAGCTACATATAGACACACATACATACACATAACTAAAAATAAAATAAAATACTTTTTAAAAGGAAAAAAAATTTGGCTTTCCCTAAAGTTCTGAGTTTTATTTTCTAAGACTTCTTCCATTCTGTTACATTACTCTGTAAGCATGCACGAACATTTCTAAATTTGTGCTTTTCTGAATCTATTATTGAAAATTTAATATTAATTGTTACATAGACTACTGTGAATATATGCCATATAAGTTATTCAGGATAGTACTATATGTTTACCATACACCCCCTTCCACCAACCCTATTGGCCACTATAAAATGAAAGTATGTGTTTACATTTTAATAATGCAAAGTCAAAAGCATGAGTATTATAATAATATCAAATAAAATTTATGTGCCACCTGAGAGTTTGGGAAGTATTTCATAGACGTGAATTTCTCTGTATAGATGTAAAAATGGAAGCGAATAAGAAATAAGGTAAATAAGCAGCTAGCTGGCTGTGACAGGTAAACAAAGGTTATAAATGACTACAGGCATTCTCAAGGTTTACAAAAAGCTATAAAGGAAAAACTCCCGGTTATACTTGGTTGGAAATGAACAATTAGCAAATACTGCAGAAGGGAACACAGTCTGGTTCTTTTTGCTAAGAATGGCAATGAGGCAATTCTCAGTCCTATTTTTAGGTAGGCTGCTAACCTCCCTGTCCTTGAGTAAATCAATCCAGCCTTTAGCTGCCTCACATATGGAGTGGGGTTAGTGCTCCTGACCTTGCTCATTGGGACAGCATGTACATTGGCAAATACTTCTGAAAATTCAAAACCCCACTGACAGTCACAGATTCCCACCTGTCTGCATTTCCTAAGGAAGTGGCAGAGCATGACAAAGACCCTTGATTAATTATACTTCTTGCTTCTAAACATATGAAAGATCTGTGCAGCAAAATTTAGAATGTAATATTTTAAGGCTCTTGGAAACACAAGCATATTTTCATTCCCACCTATTGTTCCTGCCCCGGCTCCAGTCCTTTCCATAGGACATGCCCAGGCATGGAAGGCTGGGAAGCACAAGGCTCATAGCAAGGACTCTCTGCCATGGGGAACAAAACGCTCTTCGAGGCGCCTAGCACAACTACTTAGCTCTGCCAGAATCACCAAGCCCATGTTTGTCATCTCTGGGATGCCAAGGCAAAATGACTTCCTAGCTTTGCCAAGATTCTAAAAAGAGCTGAGGGAAAAAATTCTCCAAGATGCTGTGGTATAAAGACAGCCAACTCTTCCCCACTCCGTGATACTAAACATGCATCTGAAGACGTGCAGAAAATTCTGACTCAGAAAGGCCCACCCCAAAGACCTCAAACAGGCCACTGTGATAGGCCTCCCTTAGACTCACAGACTACAAGTATATACTTGCAGTGCAGACAAAGAGTTCCACAGAACCCAACCTCAAAAGTGTCTCCCATTTCCTTCCAGACATGACGTAGAATCTAAAAGGCTAGCCTCATACTTCCTCTCCTCAAGAGCTCAGGCAATGCCCTTGTCCTACATTTCTATACGGCAGGCCTTTCTCGCTACACCATAGCCTCTGGTCCTCAGAAGGGTCACTTTTCTGACAAGTGACTTGAGAAAAGGAACTGGGCACATGTAGACGGGCTGTTTCTGCCTGAGCATTTCCATCACAGCTGTCTTATATAAACCCTCCTTAGATCAGCAGGCCCACATGGGTAGTGTATTCTCAACCACTCCAGCCATGTGGTCATTTTTTTGCAAATGCTCTTCCTTACAAATGGAAGGCCTGCAGTTGTGGGAAGCTGAGGTGAACTTAGGCTCAAAGTATTAGAAGCCATCTGGCTACATATCAAGTGCATTTATCAAACAAGTAATTGTCAATAATGAAGTAGACATGTTCATCCTCATCTACCTGACTAATTTCTAATGCTAATTTCTCAATTGGTTTTCACTAGACAGAGGAAAGGAGTATTATTTCTATTAACTCCTAAAACTGTACCACATCTTCTAGGAGGCTCTTTTCTAGTATTCATGAAACCACCTAGAAATCCAATAGCATCATGACACTCTGAAGTAGAAGAAATCCAAAGGAGCAGCTACCATAGCCACATATGCATTTCCTGGGAGGGAAGAGCTTTTCCAAATCTCCTGCAATGTTTTAAGTTCCAGAACTGTCTATGGAAGAAAAATGAATGGGACCCAGCTGCATGATTTCAGGCTGCATTTTATTACAGGCTTCTAGTATAAATCATCAGAACAAAGCCTGTATGAGCCACCTGAATGTCAGACAGAAATAGTGTCACAGAACACTGCTAGGTATTTTTTTTTAACTGCTACATATTTATATCAACAAAAGACCCCTAAGCTTTTACACTCCCAGGCATATTTGGTACTGTGTTCATAGTTTATTTTCTATATATCTCTACCTCCTTTTCTAACATTACAAATCGTGCACGCGTGCGTGAGCATGCATGCGTGCGTGCCTCTGTGTGTGTGTGTGTGTGTGTGTGTGTGTGTGTGTTGAGAGGGAGTGGGGAGGCAGAGGGAGGCGGGTAAGTGATGTAAATGCGGTCATCAGGTATTAAAATTTCAAAACATATTTGGTGGGAAGGTTGAAACAGGGTCCTACTCTGTAGCTCTGGCTGGGACGTGCTATGTAGGTCATCCCCAGCTGGCCTCCATCTCATAGCAATCCTCCTACCTCTGCCTCCTGAATGAAGGGATGAAAGGCATGTGCTGCCATGCCCAACTTGAACATACTTTTAAAATATTTTATTGATTTTTGTGATCTTCATACAATATAGTTTGATAGTATTTAGATCCGCGAGAGGGTAAAAGTAGGCGGGGGGAGCTTTGTGTGTGTGTGTGTGTGTGTGTGTGTGTGTGTGTTTGTGTTGGGTTAGACAAAGTCCATTTTAAACAGTTAACAATTCTAAGTATGATACTATGTCCTTAACAAGGGTTGCTGTACTCCCTTCTCATTGACGAATGTATTTTGAGGAGAAAGAAAACCAGTAAGGGAACATGGAAATGGGACAAAAGTCCTTCCTTCCTGTAAACATAATACTGAAGGTTTCTTGCTTAAGAATGAGTTCAGGGAGATGAGCGTATTGCCTGCAGACAGCCCATTACCAGAAACGAGTGCCAATGCCTAGAAACACAAGTCTGTGAGCTGTTCACCCAGGGACAAGGTTAGATGAAGTCCCTTGGGTTCCCCAGGCTTAGGATGGAGGAGAAAATGAACTCTCAAAGTCTTCACTAAGTCCTCCCACCAGAGCCAGCTGTTCCTCTTACTTCTATTGTATTGTCTTTTGTCAGTCCTTGAGAGGAATGAGGTGCTATCATTTCCACAGGAGTTAGGAGACTTGTTAAAGATTTAAAAGAAGATCAGTGCTAAAGTCTAGGCCAGTGCTAAAATGTCTCCCAAAGGTCCATGTGCTGAAGGCTTGGTTCCCAACTTGGTGTTACTGGAAGCTTTATGTAGAATCATTATGAGGTGAGGGTCTAATGGGAAGTTTGGCATCACTTTTTTAAATTGCATTTATTCATGTATTGGGAGAGGGAGGCAGGGGGGACCCATGTGATGTCAGAGGAAAACTCAGGAGTTGCTTCTCCTTCCATCATGTGGGTCCCAGGGATCAAACTCAGGTCATCGGGTTTAATGACAAATGCTGTACCCTCTGAGCAACCTTGTTCAGGATTATGGGATGCTGACCTCTTCCTTTCTCTCTCTTTCACTTCCTGGCTGCCATGAGTTGAATATGCTTCCTCTGCTAGATGTTCCCAGGATGATGTGATATACTGCCATAGGTCCAAAGCAGCTGGGCCAAGTGACTAGGGACTGAAACAAAATAAATACACCTTATCTCTTTTTAAGTTCATTATCTCAGGTATTTTGTTTCAGTGCTTTTATAAAGTTGATCAATGTTTTTAAGTATGAGGTGAACATGTATATTCTTATACATTTAAGTAGAATTGGAAAAGGCTCACATAATCCATATCCATGGCAAGAGGATGATAAAACGAGCTACAAAATGGACAGAGCTCAGTTTCAACCAGTATTAAAGAACCACCATACATAAAGAACTACATTGAGAGGGGACCCAAGGGAGAGGGAGCCAAAGAGGTAAAAAGGTGCCTTTCCTGTCCCATTCTGAGTTACCACATTCACAGCCATGGATGCAGCCCAAGCTACATGGTCTTGAAGTTTCAACTTTAGTAAATTCTTAACTCAGATTTTTAAGTTGGAAAGAACCTGCCCTGAATTGACAGTCTATCTCAAGCAAGCTTAGACCAAATTTACTAACTCTGTGGTCCAGGAATACTCAATCTAAAAGCTAAAGTAAAAAATAGCTGTACCACAGAATTGGAGCACTGGACTAAAGCCAACGGAAAAAGATTCCTCCTCAACCCAAACCACTAATAGATCCCTATCAGGCATGACTTCATAAATCAAAATTGCAAAACAACTACCTTTAACTAGAATTACTAACAAAAGCAGAAGAAAATCACTCAGGCATATTCATGTAGAATTACTATATACTATAAAAAAGCAGATTTAAAGTTTTTAAAGAAACAAATATCTGGATATATGAAAAATGAATATGCTGTTTTTAGAACAAGATATTTGAAAGAGAATAGAATTTCTATAAATGAGATACAGTGAAGTAAAAAAAAATCAATGGACTTGTTACAGAAGAGGTACAGTAAGAAGTGAGTCAGTGAATTGGAAGTGACTATAGAGAAAATTACCCAAAATGAAAGACAAATAAAAGATTCTAAAAGATTTTTTCATTGTTAACCACTATTTGCATGGTGATATGCATGCATACTGGCAAGCTGCCTAAGATCAAGAGTTTTATCCAGTACATGGGGTACTGATTTGTGGTGAATTAGGTTAGGTCTCCTTTTATTCATTTCTTCTTCTCTCTCTCCAGGTACAGTTCTCATAACCAGAGGTCATGACATACAGCACACATCCTCGGTGTTCATGCTGTGCAGTCAATGCCTCTGTATGTATAAGCAGCTGGGTATACATCTATAAGCATATTACATACATTTGTTCATGGTATTCATGTGTTGAGATATATTCATATGTTTACCTATCTGTAAAACAATAGTCATCTGTTTGAATCTGACCTCCTGCAACTCTGTCTATAATAGACACAGATGGAAGCTGTGATGGGTAATTTTGGTTGTCAGCTTGCTTGGATCTGGAATCAACTAATTGACCCACCTTGGTGGGTCTGTGGGGGTATTCCCTAAAGCATTAACTGAGGGTGAGGACCCTTTTTCGGAGTGAGCAACACCCTCCCTGGCAGCCCAAATACAAAGCGGTCTAAGGGCAAAGCGGGGCTGCTTCTGCTTGCTCACCTTCACTCCTTGTTGGTGAGCGTGTCTGTCTACCTTGCTGCCACCACTGCTGCCATCCTTCACTGTCAGCAGAATGGCGAAACAGTTTCTTCCGTCTTCCAACATGGACTGAGGAACAGCAGCTCTCCAAGGATCCTCCAGGCCTTGAGGGCCAGATTGGGAATACTGAGACATCCAGCCTTGTGAACTGAACAACTACCAGTTTCTCAGACTCCACTGCGCAGACGGCTACTGCTGGACTATGCAGATCCCGCAATGCAAGCCAATCTAATAACTCTCCCGTGTAACACACATTCATCCCTTCAGTTCTGCTCCTCTAGTGAACCCTGACTAACACAGAAGCTGACTGTTAAAAGGAGAGTAACACTGGTGCAAATTCGAGTGACTAATAATTACCCGTGGGTGGCAAGTCACAATAGCACATCTTTTATCTGGACTGAGCCCAGTGACTTTCAGGAATTCTTTCTACCCTAGCTAGTCACATAAGGTCTGTAGCTTCAAGAAACTAGCTGGCTCTCATACTGTCTGTGTACTTTACTTTGTGGGACACAGCTCTATGCAGAGCTTTGCTCTTATTTACTTTAACAAACACAGTGATCTGGTTTTCTGGGTTGGTGGAAATCAGAAATAATAATTCAGAAGTGGAAAATGAGCAAGAAAGGCTTCTAGAGTCAAACGCTGACAGTGGCTTTAAAAAAGAGAGAAAGGTGGGAGGTAATGGCTGCAAACACTAGGAGAAACACTGTACTAGGAAATCTAAAAAGAACAGGCTATTGCCAGCATTTCCTGGATCAGACAGCTTTGCACACCTCAATAGTCCTGCAAGACACCATTATATTACAGCACCAGCAGTAACTGATGTTGTTGATAACCTTAAGCAATCAAGTAAAGGTTGCCTCATGTTTGGTATACTCTATTTGAAAGTTAGGAAAGCACATAATACATTTTGAAAAGAAACTCATAAAGAGGATTAAAAATATCAAGAATTGGCTGGGCATGGTTGGTACACACCTTTAATCCCAGCACTTGGGAGGCAGAGGCAGGTGGAGCTCTGTGAGCTCAATGCCAGCCTGGTCTACACAGTGAGTTCCAGGACAGCTGGGGCTACAGCAGGGAGACCCTGTCTCAAAAAGACCAAAATATATATATGTATATATCAAGGGTTTTAGATGCTTGGAAAATCCTTTCATGCTTTCTCTTCATTATATATATTTTAATATATAAGTATATAAAAGAAATAGTCAAGATGTTATATCCATGCTCTAAGCAAGGTACTATCAAGTGGCCCCCCAAAGACCCATGAACTGCTTTTTTAGAACCTTAAACACAGAAATCCCTCTAAGCAACATACATAAAAGGATGATCAATCAACTATATGAAACAAACATACTGACGGAAGCAAAAGCATCACTATGAATGCAGTCGCGAAGGTTGCTTGAGACTGGATGAACGCTTGAGGAGGTGAAAATGGTTGTGATGAGGAAGGCTTTCAAGAAGCACTGAGAAATACAAAAAGGTCCATGGCAGGGAAGGAGTCAAATGCTCCCACATGAGAGGTGAGGTCACACTGCCTGCTGAGGACAAAAGTCCATCATTGTGATGGGTCATCTGACTTCATGAGAGACATCCAAGAAATGTCACTAAGCAAGTCTGGACTGCTAGAAGAGTTTCAGAGCTAAAGAGAACCTCCACTTCTCTAAGTCTGAGCCCACAGATAAACGTTTTTATTTTTATTTGATTTTTAATTGAATTTTTGTGAATTTCCTACAAAATATTTTTATCCTATTTAGACTCCTACTATCTGTATTCCTCTTAATGCCTCCTGCCTGATTTCATGTTCTCTGTCATATACATTAAGGCCTACCAAGTGAAATTTGTGTCCCCAAGTGCCCTTAAATATGGGTCCATCCACTGGAATCTAGTTAACCTCTAGCAGTATACCTTTAAAGAAAACCACTCTCCCTCTCCAAGCAGCTGCTGGTTGCCAGTAGTTCCTCAGCAAAGGTTGGGGCCTCTTACTCGCTTGCCTACTTTTTGCTGGGATTTAGATAAATTAGTTTTATACTGGAACGGGATACAGGGCAGAACATTTCATCCTTGAACACCAGATTCTACAAAGCAATGGAGAAATTCTGTAACAGTGACTCAGAGGGTGACTGGCATGAATAAAGTCTGAGAACACTATGTAATTATAACTTCTACAGATTACATTAAAGAAAATCAATGAAATGGAAAAAAACTTAATAGAAAACTGTCAATTTTGTCTTCTTAGCCAACTAAGTAAACAGCATCAAAGTGTGAATGGACATTGAATTAAAAATAGATCTGATTATAAATGAATGCACTTAAACACTTTTCCCTGATGTTTTCATGACTTGCTGCTTCATTTCTAAGTTTTAAGTTAAAAATAACTTATAATTATGTTTACACTTAAGGGTCAGGAAGGCCCGTGGGTTGCTAGATCTAGGGAAGTATTTCTAAACTGACTGGCCCTTAAAAACAAAAGTTATTAGTAATATCTTCTTTGTTCAGAGAGCAGAAATATTGCCAACTTACCTAACTTTAAAGAAATGTCATGAAGAAATTTTAAATAAATCAAGCCTAAAGTACTTTACAAAAGTATTCACATCCTCATCTTCAGGGAGATGGAACCTTTTCTGGTGCAATCTGCAGGCTTAGAGTCAAGAATGCACACAGCGCACAAGAAAGGGTGTGTGCATCACTAATGCACCCCCAGGGGGCGAGCATCTCACCACATTTATTCTCCTCTCCATGCTCCTTCTTCTTACTAACAATAGTCTATACTCCTGTGATAAAGCTCTGTAGAACACAGTAAACAACGTTCCAGTTTTCATTCCACAGCTGCCAGGGACAATTCTAAACATTTCTGTCCTGGAAAGCCCCAAATGCTCTTTTAGACAGGCTGATCCCAAGAAAAGAGAGCGTTTTTGCATACATGTGTGGGAAAAAAGCTTTTATTATCTTTTCCCAGTTCTGGAAGATTAAAAAAAAAAGAGGCATTTGTGGTTGCTAGGGGGTTCTGTGCTACATACAGATTAATGGCTTCCAGAGAAGCAAAACAAGAACAGACTTGCTGGTTTCCAGTTAATCTCCTTGTGGCACAGCCTGATCACAGAAGACATTATCTACTGAGCCACGCTGAGCATCCCTACTGGCTGGGGCAGCAAGGGCAAGTGTCCTCTCTTTCTTCTCCTACTTAAGGACCAACACTAGGAGTGGTCAGGCATTTGAAATCACAATGCATGAATGTGATGCCTTGGTAAAATCTCACCATTCCTAGAAATATTATTTGGTCAATTATGGAATGAGCAGACTTATAAATCCTATGACATTTTGGCTAATAAATATATTTTGTTTCCAATTTTCTTCCCATTTCACATCAATTTTCAAGAAGAAAAATTGGAATGATGCCAATAAACAGAAAACAGTCAACTCTAAATGAATAAT